ATAGTGGAAGATCATTTCAAGAAGCCTGGACAGAGTCATTTGGAGTGACTGAATGCAATGGGAAAGCATGTGTTCTATGCAATGAAAATGTTGTGTGTTGCACATCAGGTGTCAGACAGCACTTTGACACCAACCACAAAAGCGTTGCCCAACTTGATAATACTGAAAGAAAAGAGTTTCTTGAAGGGAAATTGAGGCACTATCATTCCCCGCATCTTAGTTTTTCCAACTATCTTTCCAGAATAAATCATCTGACAGCTGCCAGTTTTAAAATTTCACTGTGTATAGCAAAACACGGTAAGCACCTCTCTGATGGCGATATTATCAAAACGGCCATGTTGTCTGAGGGTGATTCTCTTTTTCATGATTTCCCAAACAAGGATAAAATTATTCAACGCATCTCTGAGATGCCGCTTAGCAGAAATACTGTCAAAGATCGAGTCCAGCGCATGGCAAGTGATGTTAGTCAGCAGCTCACCACTGACTTACAAAAGGCAGCCTGTTACTCCATGTGCTTGGACGAAAGCACAGATATAAATAATCATGCAAGGCTAGCAGTAATTTTGCATTATGCTGTTGGTGACATCATGAGAGAAGAGCTGGTGAAACTGGTGTCTTTGCCTGAAAGAACACAATAGTAGATATCTACAATGCTGTGAAGGAGGCCTTTTTGTCACAAGACATAAGACCAGAAAAGGTGGTTTCAATTACTAGTGATGGAGCACCTTCTATTGTGGGGGCAACATCTGGTTTCATACAGTTGTTTGTTAAAGAAACAAAACATCAAATCATTCAGTTCCATTGTATTATACATCAAGAAGCTCTTTGTGCCAGGGAAAGCAAAAATATCCTCAAAGATGTCACAAAAATAGTGAATTACATCATGGCTCGTGCTCTGAATTGTCGACAATTTCAACCACTTCTTGAGGAGGTCCAGGCACAGTCTAATTGTTTATTTATGTATAACAATGTTCGGTGGCTGAGCAGAGGACGAGTCCTGGAGAGATTTGTAGCCTGCTTGGATGAAATTAGGCTGTTTATGAACAAAAAGGGGGAAGAATATCCACAGCTCACTGATATGGCCTGGCTTACCAACCTCATGTTTTTTACAGATTTTACACTACACTTCAATGTACTGAACAAACAATTACAAGGTGTAGGGAAAACAGCAGAAAGGATGTTTTGTGATATCAAAACATTTGAGAGAAAACTGCAGGTTTTTGAAAGAGACCTTGAAAGTGAGCAGCTGAAATATTTTCTAAATCTAAAAATGCATTTAGAAAATTCTACATTTGCAGACAATCCTACTAACCATCAGGGAATCTACAAGGAATTTTCTAGCATTGTAGCAGCTGCAAAGATGAATTTTACTAACAGATTTTTACAGTTCCGTAAAATGGAGACAACCCTGTGTTTTCTTACTTCTCCAGATAAAGCCAAATTTGAAGAACTTGATCTTTCCTGCTTACACTGGTTAGATTTAGGAAATCTGGAAATGGAGCTATTGGAATTTCAAGAAAACTCTATCTGGAAAAATAAATTCTATGACCTGCGTGAAACACTTGAGAAGATAGAAGGGATGACAAAGGACAGCACAATTAGTTCTGAAAATGAAATTCTTAAAGTGTGGAATTCTCTGCCAAATAATTTTAAGTCAATGAAAGCACTTGGGATTGCTTTCCTTACTTTGTTTGGATCATCTTATACTTGTGAGCAGCTGTTTTCAGCTTTGAATTATATCAAATCTGACACCAGAAACAGACTAACAGATGACCTGAATGCTGCATGTGTTGCTCTCAAACTTACAAAATATGAGCCAAGGTTAGATAAATTATTAGCAAGCATACAACAGCAAAAATCACATTAATTCTTGAAAAGCATGCCAAATGCAAACTTTTACCTTTCAATAAAGTTTATCATTGAAAGCTCTGTTATTGTGTTTTTGGGAGGTGGAATGAGTGGGAGATTTTTACTTTTTGCCTCATTTTGCTCTTTTAAAGAGAACATGCCCCCAATGCCCTCCTACATAGCCAGAAGCCTTGCGACATCGCCGTTCCACCTGCAGTGCTCCCCCAGCCCCTCTTTAGAGAAAGTCAAGTTTTTTCTTTTGTGGTCTTTACATACTTAAGCTGCAGCTAGAAGGAAGTACTCCTTTTTGGAGTTTCCAGCGTTTGGGAGGGGGTGTAGCTTCCACCCCAAGCCATCAGCTGAGCAAGATGCCTGCCTGCCCGCACTCTTCCCCCTGTCCTGAGATGTCCTGAGCGCGCAAGAGGGCTGTTTGGTTTTTATTCCCCTCCCATCTGCTGGGTGGTTGCAACAGGTTTTGGTCTCTTCTGTCATGCTTTGAGGTTACCCATGAAGCACAGAGTCCCCCTTTGTCTGCAACCAGTCCGCCTTACCTCCGCCCTGCCCCCTCATCTTGCTTCACCCTGCAGGACGAGGCTCCTGCCCACTGTCCCACCTGCCAGAGACCCCCTGAATCTCCCCCATCCCTGCCAGGCTCCCACAGGAATCCCTCCCCAGCAGCAACATCGAGGTAGCCACACCCACCCAGTCTGCCATGACCACTGTAGCTACGCGTGTTAAATCTGTTCCTAAAATATTTCTATATGTTAAATTTGTCTTGAAGTATTGTACCTCCATACCAACTGGACAGCAAACATATTGGTAAGAACACATACAAAAACCTGTAATGCTCTGAGTGGGTGATGAGTGAGCTCCATTTTGTGGCATCTCCTATTTAACTTGATGTGAGAACCTCAGAGCACACTTCTGTAACACTTGCAGAAAGTATTCAGAAATATTTAATGGTGACACTGGAAGGGGAGGTTAGCCACTTCCTCCTTTTAATTAGAACTGATGAGAAAAAACACTTGAGAGGGACTATGTTTCTGAACTGAATGCTCTTTTGGCACAGAGTTTGGTGATAATCACTTCACACCAAAGACACAATGCAAACATAAATGACAGATGTAATTTCAAGCCTTACTTAATCTATTGCATATGCAAATATGCATTCTCATACTGGCACATAAACTTAAATATTGTATAGACAAAGACTACTGCCATTGTGAAGTGGTATCAGCTGTATTTCTGTTCACAGAAATAATCAATTACTTCCAGAGCAGACAAAAATGATAATTACAATATTAGATGGAAATCAATTTGAAATCCAGAACAGTATTTAGAATAGTTCAGCTGCCTAAACAGCTATCAATACAGTACAACTTTTATTCCAATAAACCAGGGGTGTCAAACTCAATTTCCTATGGTTGCCCTCAGAAGGGCCGGGTGGGTGTGGCCTACTAATAGGTGTGGATGGAGTGTGCCTGGCCTACTGGGTGGGCATGGCCAGCTCTATATCGTTTGTGTCAAGGGTGCCTGTGGGGACCTGAGCAGGAGTGGGACAGATCTGAGGGTCTCTGGTAGAAGGGGGTGGGACCAGGGCAAGCACCAAGGCATGGTCAATTTCTTCATTCCTCACAAAGGGTGACACCTCCCCAGCATATACCCAGGGGGCAGGGCCAACACAGCAGGGGCTGGTTCCTTGCTTTTCTAGACGGCCTTGTGGAGCTAAGACTGAATGCGTTTCAGCATAGATGGCCACCACAAAATTGTACATTGACTCCCAGCCGGCCTGGGCCAGGGCCAAGGCAGTGTGGTATGTATCTCTAGTCACATGCCTAGAATTTATTAAAACAGCAAAACTATATATACATATATGAGAAACTCCCAAATTCAGCTGACTCTTAATGTAAAATTCAAAATTTACTTATATTCCTCTTACCCACAAACCATTTTTACTGAAGACTCAGTGTAGCATTCATTTTTCCCTTTTAGGTTTTCAGGTTAAAATTGGAAGATAAAATTGGAAAATTATGCAGTTGACCGTCTGATTATAATCAGAATCAGATGATAAACTCCATATTTTCAAATTCTACCTTGGGCTGATCAACGACGGAAATAAACTTGTTCCTGTAACATCCGCTTTTATGTATTAACTCACTATATCGTACAATCGGCACGAACTAGCATGCAAACTAATATGTTCAAGAAAGCAGTTTTCCTACCGGCCCAACTTCGCATGAATATAAAAGCTGCCTTGTATCGAGGCCAAACAGTATAATCCCGAGAAAAGCAACACAAAAAACTCCCCAAAGCCAGCAAACAAGAGAGGAAGGTTTCGAAAGTTGGCAATACTAGGGCGGAGCCGAGAAGGAGCCCCTTCCCGCTTCAAAACTTGCAGTTCTCTGCAAGCAAGATCGAAACTGCGAAAGGGAAAGTTCCGGCGCGCGCAAACTGGCATAATGCTGTCGGAAATCAACGCCCGAGCCCCTTGACAGCCTGAGGCCACCCGCTCGCTTTGGCGACCCACGACAACTAGGGCTCCCGAGAGACATCCGCTCGATTGCACCAGACGCGCCGCCCCCGTCAATTCACCGTAAACCGGGACTGCGCTCCGAGTGTCCCCCCTCCCCCCCGCTTCCCTCTCCCCCTCGGGCGCTTCTTACCCCTCAGCAGGAGAGCCGCAGAACAGCTTCCGCTACGCCCCTCATCAAACGATCTCGCGAGGCCTCCGCTCAGCGGGAACGAAGCGTTCCGTCCTGACAGAGCGCACGCGCTGTCCTGAACGATGAGCTGGGCGAGGGAGGGACCTGTGGCACGCGTTGTCAGAGTCCCCGAGACCGGACGCTCGGTCCCCACCCCCGGAGATGGTCGCGCGTGTGTGCCTCGTAGCGCCCTGGGATTAGAGTTAGTCTTGCACTTCCCTGCATTGTGGGTTTTCAGCTGTCTTGGGGAAAACTGAGTCAAGTAATTCCACAACTTAACAGACTTGGGTCCTATGCGAGAGGAAATGCTGCATCGTATTTCCTGCTGTTTCCTTAGAGATACGAGATGCGGTGACTTTTTATTGGGGAGAGCAGTCTCTTCCATGATACTTCCAGACTTTAGAAGCCAAGAGCATAGATCTTCCCTCCCCTAATCCTTTTCTACCAAACCGAGCAGCAGCTTTGCCATAAATCCCGAGACTGGCTTGGTTGCTTCTATTGCCCCTTCTCTCCTTGCAAAAGGAGCCAAGGAGAGAATATAAAATTTAAGGATGCCATGGGACATGAGTTATTATTTATTTATTTCAATGTATTAGCACTCAGTTCCAGTAGATTCTGCTGCTGCTTACATTGCCTGGTGCTGATGCCGATAGAGTGTGAAAGTAAGGGGCAGTTGCTTAGCCTCTTACAATAGCTTGAAGATGATCGTTACAGTATTGTTAAGTAGGGCAGATCTGGTGGTTATGTTGAAGAGAGCTGTATTTTGTCAGATAAAATTAAAATAAATATCAGATAAAATGTTTATTCTGAGAATAGGTTGGTGGTATTTTTTTTCCCTCCCATGTCCTCACCAGTTTTACATATAAAAATTTGAAATTGGGAAGTGAAACTTCTAAAATGGATCTTCACTGACGGGAAATCTTTTATTTGCTGATTACTACTTATTACGAAACTGTTCACATCACATGAGCCCCTTGAGAAAAAGAACTGTTGGTAAGTTTCAATCCAGTTAAATGTGTTTATAATTACAGCCTTATAATATCATCTAAGTATCTTACCTTTATTTCAAAGCAATTCAGTTTTTTTCTTATGATGGAATTTGTTAAATAAACATGCTTAGGACTGCAGCATTACAAATCAATTTCATTCCATTATAATATATTCCATTATAATAGAAGTCATCACAAAAGTTTGCATTTAGAACTTCTGCCTTAAAAAAGAACAATTTCCTTTATCTCCACTTCTACTTGTGTATGCTATTATGAAAAGCTACACCCATTTTTGCATGTGTATTGTGGCATTGCACATATGATCAGCAATACTGATCCTGGTTGTAGGATCTGCAGGTACTACTACAACGTTCTGCTGGTTTACAAAGTCCTAATTTGCTCTTTGTATTATTTTGTGATACTTTTTATTTTGTTTTCATGCACACTCACCTAAATGTCATTTTTCTCCCTGGGAGGAATGTCCTTGAAGAGTACTATAAGAAAATCCCATAACAATTTCCTCCAATAAAATTGCTTGCTTCCCTACAAAGTGTACTCCCCTAGAAGAAAGGTAGCTGCAAAACAGAAACTTTCAAAAATATTCTCTTCAAATATTTTCATTTCTATTTTATTTGCCCCTTCTCACAAAATCCTTCTGAAGTTTAATAAGTCTCTTTTGTAGATCTAATATAAGAAAGTTATCTAAGTCATTCTTTTCGTCTGCTATTTGTACATCCCTTTTGTTATTTTTTTTTATTGAAAATTTTTAAGTTTTAGAAAGAAAAAATTCCCTTCCCCAAACCCTCCCAACCCTCCCCTACCCTCCCCCGACCTTCCCAGAGCTGAATACAGGCTTAATTAAAATTTTTTTAAAAAAACCTTAAAACACATATAAACCATAAGCAAATCTAAATACATTAATTAAACAAATTATAAAATAGTTAACAACAATATATAAAAAAAACAAGAAGAAAGAAAAAAGAAACAGAAAAAGAAAAAATCAAATAAAAAAAGAAAAATTAAAAAATTAAAAAAAATGTCTATGAAATATCTTAAATTTTAAATATAAGTTATTCAAAAACTAAATATTTTTTTATATCCATCTTATATTGTATGAAATCTATCCATTTTTTCCATACCAGGAGGTACTTCTCTTGCGGTTGATCTTTCAAGAAAGCCGAAATCTTTGCCATTTCCGCCAAATAAGAAACTTTAAGAAACCAATCTTGCAAAGTAGGCAAAGATTCCTTCTTCCAACATTGCCTTACTAACAACCTGGCCGCTGTAATTAAATTTAACATCAATATAGTCTCTTTACTATCACAATCAGAAACAATACCTAACAAAAACAATTGTGGGGTAAATTTTATCCTTCTTCTAAAAATTCTTTGAATATTCCACCATATCTTAATCCAAAAAGCTTTTATATTTTTACATGACCACCAGATATGATAATAAGTAGCATCCAAACATCCACATCTCCAACATTTAGGCTGCAAGTCAGGATACATACGAGACATTTTTTGTGGATCAAGGTGCCATCTATAAAACATTTTATAAAAATTTTCCCTTAAATTTTGGGCTTGTGTAAATTTAACATTCCTCACCCAAATAATCTCCCAGGTATCTAATGGAACCGGTTCATCAAAATTTTGTGCCCATTTAACCATACATTCTTTAACTAATTCTGCCTCTGAATCCAATTCTACTAACACTCCATAGATTCTCTTAATATGAGTTCGTCTTTGATCTTTTATTTGTTTTAACAAATTCTCATCTTCTCTAAGCAAACCCACGTTATGATCTATCTTCCACCTCTCCACTATTTGTCTATAGACATCCCTCTTGTTATTAAGACAACAGCTATTTTATTTGTAAATCCAGTGTAGCATCTTTTGCTAATATCATTCTCATAGCTTGTCATTTTTAAATCCCCTTTCAGATCAATCTCAGTCTTGTCTGGTAAAATGTGTTCCATGACACCTTTTAAAACATAACCTATCTGTAGAAGCAGTCACTCTTAAACTTAGCTTCTGAGTGCATGATTCAAAAATATTCTCCAATATATCCAATATTAAAGTATTTTACTCTATTCTGTGTGAGTCAAATTTAAATGTTCTTCCACTTTAGTTATAATCTTTAGTTCCTCAGATTCCCTCTGCTGCCAAACATTTAAAATCCTATCCTATTATGAGTTATTTTAGGAATTGAAAACAACAGCATTTTCCCATGGGAAAGATTCTTATAGTTAATGTTAAAATCTTATTTAAATCCGTCCATCCATCCTTGCTCTGTTTATAACTTTCTAGAATTAATGTTCTAATCACACTTTTGCTCTTTATTCCAAAAGAGTTTTTTTTAAAAAAAATGTCTTTAAATTTCTAACTCTTCTAATATATGTTTCACAAAGGATTAAACTCAATTCACCCAAAGTCTACTATCAGACTTGAAGATCAGAAGGTTCGTAATAGTAAAAAGCAGTTAAGCAATTTCCAAAAGTGATTAAGAAATTAGGCTTGGTAGAATTTTGTGTCCATAACATGGTATTGTGGCAATGAGCTTGATGGGAATCCCTTAACTCCTAGACCAGTGGTGGCGAACCTATGGCACTCAGAGCCCTCTCTGTGGGTACACGTGCTGTTGCCCCAGCCTCGCCTCCTCTCCAGCAGCCCCCCTGAAGGAGAGTCGCCCCTGAGCGTGGCCCATGCAGAGCAGCACAGCCAAGGATATGGCTGCCAGGCAGTATAGACAAGACTCTGCCCTCACACCCCATTGTGCACAGTTGATGCTGCAGGGCACGGGCAGAGGGCGTGACTGCCATAGCGCTGCTGGGCTGCCTGGGCGATCTGTGGCGGGCCCTGGAGGTGGTGAGTGGCCTTGCAGGCAGGTGGCGCAGGGGATGGGGGTGGGGCAGGGGGTGGGCGGGGCCAGTTTTGGGGCACTCGGTCTCTAAAAGGTTCACCATCATTGTCCTAGACACCCCACTCAGGAGCTGGTTGCAAAAATCTTAGTTTCTGCTGTTTGCTCATGAGGAACAATTGTCTGGATGGGTGATCTCACAGTCTCTCTTTCTCTGGATCTTCTCCAGAAAACCACCATCTGGTTACTGATCTCACTGCAGCACCTCTCCACTCCTTTGGAGACATCTAGTTTGCCATGAATCCTGACCTGAAATCCCTTCTCACATCTCATTTTGAGAAATCATGTGGACTGGGCTTTTAAGGGAAGGATTATTTTATATTATATATTTTCCACGCTTTACTAATGTAAGGTTTAATTCCTATGTTCCCAGTTCTCACTGTTTACCTCATAAGTACCACAATTCTTAGCTTTAAAAAAATCATTCAGTCCAATCCGAAACAGATCAAGGATCAATAGCCAAAACGAAGTTACTTTTGTCAGGTATAACAAACAGCAGTTTGGTCATTTTTGTTTTTGTTTTTGAAAATAAAATATTTAAACAAAACATTCTTTTGTAATCCATTTTCATACAGACAGTTTGCAGGAGTTAGAAAAGTTTTAGACCTATGCAGTTGTCTTCACCCACACACACTTGAGTTGGTTTCCAATATGATTTATTTGAAATCAAAACAAAGTTCCAATATTTTTTCTTTTGAAATATTGAAACTCTGCAGATCTTCTGGGTCATTAATTTTTCCATACTTGTACAGTCTCCCCTCACCCCTCTCTCTGGTTTTAGACTTGTTATTTTCTCACAGAACTTTTAAGAGGAAATATGACTTAGCAGCATTTCATCTTAGCAACTACTCAGACTTTTAACACTTGACCATATAGATGCATAGAAACATCAACTAAAAATAATCACTGGTTATTTTCTCTTTTGTGCTTCCCGTATCTGCAAAAACAGCAATAATGACAATTACTCAGAAGGAGTCAGCCTGGCTCTAAACATTTGGGGGGTTGCTTCAAAGTACTTTTGAAGGAGTGTGTGTGTGTGTGCACGCGCACGTGCAGAGACTAGAACCCACAATCTCCCTGTTTCTAGTCTGATGCTTTAACCATAGCACCACCATTCTGAATTTGAAGGACTGGAGGATGGAATTGTGAGACTACAGAAATGCTCAAAATATAATGAAAAAACAAAGGAGCATGATACAAGAAGACTCCAAGTATTGTTCCTTTTGCTTTAACACCAGGATTTGAAGATAATAATGGACAAATAAAAGAAGGAAAAGGCATAGCAAATATAGAAAGCTAAGATATATTTACAAGTAAGATGAACTACTGTATTAACTCTGGAAGCTCAGTAGGAAGTAGGTATAACTTAGAGGTAAGCCTCATTAATTCATATGAATTTACTTCCATGTGCCTGATGAAATTTACTTCAGTTTATGATTTTTTTTTACTACAATGAATTTGTTATCACATAAAATATCCTCAGGTTTGCTCTGAGAGGCTAGAATAGCTAACATTCTAGGAATTCAAGTAAGTATGCTTAAATGAAGTTCAAGAATAATGATGTTTTTCGAAAAGAGATTACAGATGTTGATTATTTTCTAACATTAGTTAGCTAAGCTTTATGATAAAAATAGGGATGTGTCAATGGGAATTAAACGGAGATTTAAAGCTCTCCAGAGATTTAAATTCAGTGTACTTATAATGATATACAAAATTACCCCTCGAGGTTGTTGTATGTCCTTGTGATAAGCCAAGCTGTGATTCAAGAGAAAGCTCTATTTTAATATAAATGTTCCAAACTATTATGGTTTTGCTGTTGTATATTAAATATGTGTGATTTTAATGTTACGTAATTACATTGCCTTTCTGTAAATTTATTTTAATTATTGTGCATTGTTGAAATGGTTTTTAATATGTATTTTCCAGGTTATGTAAATAATAAAAAAACAAGAGATAGTGTACAAGGAAATGACGACTTGTTAATGTCCCCTTCTTCCTGTTTTTTTAAAGTGCAAAATATGAATCTGCTGTTTGCATGCTATATTGATAAAAAGATTCATTTATTTATCTGTCCATCTTAATTTATATGTATCAATATATATGTATTTTTATATATAAGTATGTATAATGGGAATGGAAGATGCTGCTTATTCATGTAGACTACAATATGGTAGACAGAATATTCTCTGGGATGTAATCCTAATATTACAGAAGAAGTGACAATGCAGCTTGTTTTTAGTGCTTATTTAGTGCTTATTTAGTTGATTTCTGAGTATGCATGCTGTGTCCCATTTGTGTTTATTTAAACAAAACAAAATTATACTAATTTCAGCGGAATTAAGTATGATGTAAATGAGGTGACAGGGCACTAAAATCTTATATCTGTTGATGATCACTTTTCCCCTTCAACAGTAGACCCATCCTCTCAGATGAACAGGCCACATTTACCAGCAGAAAGAAATTGTAGCATCATAGATTATAAAAGAAGTAAAGCCTTCTCCCGAGAGACAAGGTGGATTCTTGAAGAATACACATCCATGAACACATATCCATGTAGTCCTCTTGGCAACAATAGGAAAGTGGATAAACAGGCTTGGAATTTCAGCAGCTGTTGGATAGCTATTTATATGTTTATCAAAGTGCTATAGTAAGTGAGAACTATATTGGTCTTTATTAGAACTGTCCTTGTTCTAAAAAAAATAAACGAGAGAAAATATATTTTGTATATTTGTATAGTTTGTCTTTTATGATTGCACCTACAAGTTACCAAAATACCTTTTTCCTCTTGTGGGAAGTCAATCCCCTCCCCCTGAGAAGGAAATATTAAAAGGGCAGAATATTATATTTCCTCAAAGGATCTTAAAAAGCCAGAAAAGTATGCTCAGTTTTTCTTAATAGCCTCAAGTCTCCTTCCCCCAGGCAGAAACCAGCTCTGTAAAAATGCAGATTTCATAATCTTTTCAGAAAGACTGGCACCTGGAAGCTTAGAGCTGATGGGATAAGAAAGACAAAGATCCCTAGAATCAACAATCCCTCACACCAAAAAAAAATTCAACCACAGGACATAGTCATCAGCCACAACCCCAGGGAAGCAAGGTGTGACCTTTGGGACATAATAGGATTAACCATCACCATCAGAATACCAGAAAGGCACACTCAGGCTCAGGTCAAAGTTCATGCCACAGGAACAATTCCAAACAAAAGCGCAAGAAGGTATAAAAACACACCACTCCATACTATATGTGATTAGCTTTCCCAGAGCCATCTTTCTGTCTGGCTCTCCTCTTCAATAAACTACAACCTTCTTTCTAAAGCAGTCTCCATTTTGCTTATTCCCAGCTTGGACTGGGCCCTGATGAAGAGTTTTCTTTCAACACTCTTCAATACCAATGTAATAAAGAATGGCTGGCTTCGTATCACACTAAGCCATGGGTTTTTTATATCATGGTTTGTTGCATAATCTATTGTGGCTTGGTTCATATATATTAATAAACTCAGGTTTATTAATAATGGCTACTAAACGCAAAGTAATCTCATTACACCTTAATGTGATGTGGACATTAACTCCTATTTATAGGTAAGATTCACAGATCACACTAAACCATGGTTTTTCCAAGGTGTATCAAATATTCATATTATGGTTTCAGAAGGCAACAGGGTAACAGGAATCCTGTTATTTTTATTATTATTTTATTATTTATTACTGTACTTTAATATTTGTTTTCAAAAAATGTACAGTATATGCACTTAACAAAAACATGAAGAGGAAATAAATTGCCAGACTTTGTGAAAAGGAAAATTCACAATATTACAAGCAGTATTGAAAAATATTGTGCTTTGATTCTAGACTTTTGTCTGTCCTCAAAATAGCGAATTGTGCTTTCCCAATATGAACAATGAAGAGCTAGTAACGCAGTATTCCAGTTGTGATAGAAGTTCCTGGGCGAATATAGGATTTTAGTGACATAAAGATATAGATGCTAAAACTGAGTGCAAATAATATCTTTCCGGAGGGCTGGTAGTGTCTCATAAGCAAAATCCTTTAATATGAAACAGCCTGTGCGCCAAGCTTGTAAGAAATCATGTAAAGATCTGTTGCTTAAGAGAAACTCTTGCTGTCTACGATCACCAACACCAGCTCCTGTTTCAATTCCTATATCAGCCACTAGAGCTTAAATTTAGAGCATGCACCATTCGCAAATGCAATGATAAAAAGGGCGGAAGAATAGCGTCAATCCTTTCCCTTGTTTAACCTACCACAGCTAAAGCTCTTAAAATATTAGTGAAACACAGCCAATCCAGACGAGGTTTGCTTCACTGTACTTGAAATCATACACATAATCCCCAGAGGGAAAGCGGGCTATTTGCCAGTAGTAAGAATGGCGGAGCTAGCGATGTTGGACTAGGTGGAGCAAAGGGTTGCTTCGGGGCGTCTTAAGAGTTAGTGGAAAGGTTCCCCAGGATATGCCTGCCTCTCTACGGACGAAAAATGTCTGCAGATTAAGCTGGTGAGTAGGTGTAGTAGCCTTCACAAAAAAGATCGAGGGGGAAGATAGCGTTACCTACCGCCTTGATTTTAGCCCTGATCTTTGCAGTAGGTTCAGATTACAATAACCCCACCAAGAAACATTCCCACGCCCCTCTCTTGTTGAACGGGGTTTCGCCAGACGCTAGGGTAAGACGGCGTCGCAAAGCTGAGGAAGCGATCCGGAGAAACAAGAGCCAAGTTATCCGCCTTGCTGCTTATACGGACAGTGTTTCTACCTCCCAAAATATGGGTGAAATACGGTAGGCCGGATGGATCCGGCTCTAAATTATTCTCCGCTTAAGCCGTGCCTAACGGAGACGGAAAGTCACTGCAGGAGCGATAGGAAGTTTCAGCGCTACGCAGTCTCTTGCAGCTGCAGATCTTCGCCGTGTATGCACGTCTGAGACGTGCCCTTACAGAAGAGTCGGAGCCGAGTTGTTCTTTGACTCTGGCGCAGCTGCATCCCGCCGCCGGCAATGCAGCAGCTAAAATTGATGGCGTTTCCAGAGTTTGCTATCTATCGCCGGCCACTGTTTTCCCTTGGAAAAAAGGCCTGGCTGCCTTAGGGTTATTCCAGTTTTACATCCCCCAATTACTGAACGCAAGCGAAGACTTTAGGATAAAATGAGCAACCCGTATTGCCGCATTACAGTGCGCGTGGGGATTGTTACGGGAAGTTCTGAACCGATTGCCGTGCGTTTCAGCCATGGGCTTCCTTCGTTGGCTAATTCGTGTCTCCGTTCTCGCAAAGTATTTGCTGAGAGATTACAGCTTCTTACATATAGAAACATACTGAAATGTCACCCTGGCTTAGTGTAAACTCGGTATCTGGATTACTTCAGTAAACTATGGTTTAGTATTTTATAAACAAATCTATTTTGATTTCCGGCTGATTTTTAAAACATTTTTTTTCGAAATTGAAGATCTGCTTTAATCTGTCCTTTCGTATAAAGTGAAAATAGTAGCTGAACACGTTCAGACAAGGCTTCTTAAACTAAATAATGCAGACGTTTGATTCCTAAAATGTGCCTTTTATGATGAGAATCAATTCTCAACAGTGCAGTCAATCATATACTTCTTTCCTCTCCAAGTTTAGTTTAGGGTCAGTTTAGCACTTGCATTTTTAAATGTGTAGTTAGTAAATTGTTTTAAGTGGATTGTTTAGTGTTTCTGGATGTAATTGCTGGCTATAACCAGAGTAGTAAGCAAAATTACTGTTAAACACTATGCTAACTCTATGTGGTTTACTTTAGTTTTTCAAGTCTGTGTTGCCTGGGGTAGACACTGAATGCTATGTGTAAGGTATTTTGAGAATCAGTGGTGGAAATGGTATGTTAATTATAGGTTTCTTCTTACCTTACTTTATTTTGGCAAAATGATTATATTTGATCCTATTTGAAGTGAAATAATTTAAACAATATTCCATTTTTCCAGGGGATGCTTTTCCCCTCCCACCCCCTCATGGCAAATCAATTGATAGTTTTCTGGGACTACAGTAGTTAGTTTCTGGCAAAATTCTAGAGTAGATAATAAAGTGATCAGTTTATAAACACCCTGAAAACAATGCATTGGTTACTTTTCCCTAAAAAAGCCACATCAACAAATACACCTGAGATAAACAGAAAAACACCTCAGACTGCAGCCCCCCCCCCCAAAAAAAAGAAAGGAGAGTGTTGGTAATAGGAGACTATCCTCAAAGAAACAGAATCATCCATCTGCAGACGAGACGTAATAATCCAGGGAGGTATGCTGTCTCTCTGAAGCAAAAATCAAAGATGTGGCTGAGAACCTAACCAAAATAATTAGGCCTACAGATTACTACCCCCTCCTCCTCCTTTACATTGGGAGGAATGACACAACAAACAACCTGAGTACAATAGTGAGGGATTACAAACAACTAGGCAATAAAGTTAAGAAGCTAGGACAGTGATGGCGAACCTTTTAGAGACTGAGTGCCCAAAAACTGGCCCTGCCCCTGCTCCACCTCCCTGCTCCGCCCCTGCTCTGCCCCCCCATCTCCCACCCCGCCTGCCCACAGGACCACTCCCCACCTCCAGAGTCAGCTGCAGATCGTCCAGGCAGCCCAGCAGCGCTATGGTGCCACACCCTCTGCCCGTGTCCTGCAGCATCAACTACATGATGGGGTGTAAGGGCAGAGTCTTGTCTACGCTACCTGGCTGTCATGTCCATGGCTGCGCTGCTCCATGTGGGCCATACTCCAGGGTGACTGTCCTTCAGGGGGGCTACTGGAGAGGAGGGGGTCGCAGGGGGAGGCAAGGCTGGGGCAATAGCACGTGTGCCCACAGAGAGGGCTCTGAGTGCTGCCTCTGGCACCCGTGCCATAGGTTTGCCACCACTGAGTTAGGAGCGCAAGTAGTGTTCTTATCAGTATTCCCAACGAAAGGCCAACATCCATTGAGGGAAAAAAGAATTTTAGAAATAAACCATTGGCCAAAGGGTTGGTATCGCCAAGAAAACTTTGGTTTCCTGGATCATGGACTGCATTTCCTACACGAAGGAGTCTTGGCAAGGAATGGGGTACACCTCACGAAAACAAGCAAAAATGTACTTGGAAAAAGACTGGCCCAACTTATCAGGAGGGCTTTAAACTAAAACTGAGGGGGGGGGGTGACCAATCTCTAGAATCTCTAGAACCCAAAACCAATCACAAATCCCAAGAAAACAAATCAAACAACAGTGATGAAAAAAAGAAGAAAAACTCAAACAACAATTAGAAGATACATGAAACACACCCATAAAAGTCTTAAATGCTTGTATACAAACGCTCAAAGCTTAGGGAACAAACAGGGTGAACTAGAAGCAATAGTACATGAGGGAGGGTATGACATAGTTGGCATAACAGAAACCTGGTGGGATGAAACCCATGAATGGAATGGACTGATGGATGGATACAAATTGTTCAAAAGAAACAGGTCTATAAAAAGAGGAGGGGGAGTTGCACTATATGAAAGAGAACACTACATATCTGCAGAAATGCACATGATCAAAGATAAAATCTCTCCAGAATGTATATGGGTCAATATAAAAGAGAAAGAAAGTGACATTACCATAGGTGTATATTATAGGCCACCCAACCAATCAGAAGAAATAGATGAACTCTTTGCCAACCAGTTAACAAATGCTCGTAGGAAGCATACCACAGTAGTAATGCGAGACTTCAACTATCCAGATATAAA